AATCAGGGAACTGCCAAAGGACCTTGCACAAGCTCGTTTTAGCCTTGAGCTCAACGGATTTTGTGCAGATTTGTTCGGTGTTTTCTTGCGAGAAGCGTCGCAGTTGTTTCAACTGAGGTGCAAACCGTGGTGATTTGGGTGTGGCTCAGAAATGAAGCGCTAGGTTTACGCAGGCGTTTGGTTCTTGGTCCCGTTTGGCTGTGGGTCAAAAATGGGTACCCAAAATGGAACCCTGGTAAATGGAACCATGGACTAAAACCTGCGCTGCCCAGGTGGTTTAATTTGGCTCATACCCATTTGCCAAGCTGCCACTTTCGCACATTTGTTGGAGCCACAACCATGTTGCTTTCTCGCTCTGTATCTTCTCCCTCTTTCTCTGACCTGCAAAAGGGCGGTTCACGCCCATTCGGCAAGAGAAACTCGGGGGTACCACTTCACATGGCTGGGTGTCCGCTTTCATGAACCAACCTCCAGCGCCCTGGTCTTCCTTTTTCTTGGGAAAAACCACCCCCTTCGAAATCAAGTACCAACCAAAAGCCGCGTTTTCCATGGACATCCGGGGAAATGTTTGGAGAACCATGTTAAAGAGTCCTTGATCCGCCATCCAGCGTTCAGTCCATTGCCATGTTCCCTCAACAGCAAGTAAACATGTAGACTCTGGGTCGAATGGTGCTGCGCTGAAACCAGATGCACCTCACCCGTTGGCTTATCTGATGGGTGAAATATGAAAGGAAACATCAAACAAGCCAAGGACACCCACAGCTCGCGTGGGCTGAAGAATGCAACGGGCGATCTAAGGGACTTGTCCAAGCTTTCCAAGGCTCTCTTACAGAGAAATAGTCTATTCCGAAAAGCCACACCGTTCGTGTTGAACAAATGCGCCAGGCAAACACAGCGTTCTCCATGAAAACATGAAAACAAAATCCTTCATCGTCGGGTGACAAACGGTTCCTTGGTTTGCAATCGGTTCGCTCTTGTTGCAGGCGCCTCGATACATGAACGGAACAACTCCAAAAACCCCAAGCATCTGTTCCCCCCTCCCCACCCCACCCCCCCACCTCCCCCCCCCACCCCAACCCCCAACCCCCCCACCCCCCTTCCCCAACCAACCCCCCCCCTCCCCGCCCACCCCCCCAAGCGGGGCCCAAAATTTCGACGCGCGCGGCAGGCCTCGCTGTGGTGAGATTCGCCAGCGAGGCCAGGCGGCCCTGGCCCAGCGGCCAAGCGGCCGAGCGGCCGAGCGGCCGAGCGGCCCGCGGGCCACGCCACTTTTCGGGGAGAGGACTGCCACCACATGGGCAGCTGCTTGAAACCACTGGGGTCTGAAAGGGGAGAAACCCCCCAGTCGCGGGACAGAACTGGATCAAGATGTATTGCATCTGGGGGACGGAATTGGCTTTAAAGGGAAAACACAGACAGGACAACCACCAAAGAAAGATACGGCCAGATTTCGTCTATCCGTCTACCCTAACTGGGCCGTCCGTTTTCAGATCTCCCGCTAAAACGTTCACTTTAGGTGGGTTGAATGAAAATGTCCACTCAACACCAGAAGGGGAGAAACCTAAGGAACCCGATGGCCGGGAGCACCAAGTGAATTGCTCCTCTTGGGGAGCAAAGCCCCAAGAAAAGCTCTTGTTTGGGGTGGGAAGTTTGAACCCACCCGGCCCGCCAGGCCCATCCACCCGTCGGGCCTTCTCAAAGACACGGTCATTGCAGGGCGCGTCTTCCCCTTTGATCGCGGGATGCAATGTTGGGTCCTCACGAGAGCCAACTTCTCACATCCCATACTGAGTCAGGTGAGGTGGAAAGCCAACAAGCCAAAGGCATGTGCAAAAGCATGGTTACGTGTCAAAACTAAGAAGACTGACCAAATGGTTGGTTTCATCTTCTTCGATCCACGGGAGCGGTTCCTCAGCCTGGACGCATCACAAAACATCTCCGGTTCTCCCAAAGGGGAGGATGATGAATCCATTCGGAGATTGTAGCGTCTACTTCCCCCTCGACTGTATGTGGGGGGTCAAAAGGTCCTTTACATGGAATGACCATTTCGGAAAACCACTCAACCGAGACTCGATATTTCCCGCCTGGGAACGGGTGCCCATGGTCAAAACTGGGGTCCCTAAACGGAAATTTGATCAACTCTCTTGAGGCAAAGGTGACTCCTTCAACAGGTGAGGCAGCTGGCTGAGGCGCTGCGTAAACTCATAGATGGCCTTCTCGGCATAATGCGGCCCACAAGCCTCGAGTCGACGCAGAAACGTGGTGAGCCGACTCAAGAAACGACTCCTTTTGGCTAAAAGACATGTCTTCTCAAAAACCGCCATTTCTAGAAGAATCTGCTAGGACACCGCTTTTCGTTCGATGTCAATCAGGAGAGTCTCCTTGGCTCAAAAGGCGATAGTTAACCAGCTTAGGCCCCAAAACAAGGTGTGAGGAGGCCTCAGCCAACTTGGGGAAAAGCACCACTCGGAGCTTCCTGGTTTCTAGCAAAGTTTCGTGTGCCCATCATGTCCCTCAATTGACTACAGACTGGATGCTGTGACAGAACCTGGTGCAAAACTAAGCCAATGCAGGCTACAAGGAGCCTGACATCGCTGCCATTTCAAAAGCAAGCCCGAAAACTGGCCTCGGATCTTTGGCCAACAGGGATCCTTACATGAAAAACACCTGAACATTGCAACTTGTAAATGGTGGTTTTTCCTTTAATCTGGTGTTGAAAAAGCAACTTGTTTCAAATGGTTGCAAAATGAATCTTTTAAGGAGCCCTGGCCAAGTTGGGTAGTTTACAGGTTATCTGGGTTACCAGCCACTTGCTAACTTGCGCCCCCAAATTCAGGACTTCGCGGTCCGGTCTGAACAGAGGAACCAGGAGCGAGTTTTCTCTCCAACGTGCTGGGCTACGCTAGAGGCGAACCACAGATTCATCCAAGATGCTTTTCAAGCAACACCTAAACTGGCCTTTATTTCCTGGGCTGTCCTCAGATCCCCCGCTAAAAGTTTCACTTTAGGTGGGTTGAATGGAAATCCCAACTAAGCACTAAAAGGCTAAAAAGGTAAGGGGATGGCTGGGAGCCACCAAGTTTACTGATTTGCAATCTCTGAAGGCAAGGGACCCTTCTGGCCGTAGAAAATCGAATTTGCCTCCTTGTGTCCATATCTAGGGGTCCCGCAAACCAAACTCATGTGGGAGTGCCTGGGCAAATATACATCGCAGGGATTTGCTTTTGGGCCACGTTCTACCAACATGGCCTTTGATGCTTTCCAAACCGATTTTTCTACCTGTGCCCTCCCATTCTATTCAGAAATCAATATCCTCAAAGAATTGGCAAAATCCCGGGGAGAATGCATTGGCCTTGAAGAGAACGAGAAGAGAATGGGGAATCGCACAGAATTTGGGGTCGAGATGCTTTCCTCTCCCTGTCCTCCCCTCCACTCCCCTCTCCATCTGGTGTGAGTTTGTGCGCGTGTGGCCAAAGAAGGGAATTGGACACCGCAATTCGACTTTTCCTGCTTGGTGTCCCTTAAAAACCCAAGGGCCCTCAACAAAATGATCCCATTTTTTTCCAGGCCGCATCTTGCTTGCCCCCGTAGCCCGCCATCTTCCGATCTGGCGCCGCCCCACGGGGCGGGGGCGGCAGCCCTCGAGCCAACGCCGCAGGCATGCCATGTGTATGTCGCGTGTTGAGGCTGCCCTTTTGTTGGGGTTGGGTCAAAACTCGGTGGCTTTCTGCTCCCCTGCGAAAAGTTTAACTTTTTGTGGTTTAATGGAAAACCCATGAGTTGGAAAGTCCTAACATCCAAGCAAAATGCACCAAAGAAAAGAGAACTGAAGGGAAGCCAGCCATTTTGCGGGTACCCCTAGTTGACACATACCTGCATGTGTCAACATGGCTTTTGCCTTACTAGCAAGCGATAGACAGCCAACAAAATTGTTATACCCTCCCACCAGCTAACATGGAAGTGCACAGACCCCCTGTAGAAGGACTACTTTCCTCGTGCAAAGGGCCTTTTTGCACTTCCAATCTGCCAGAGGGAAACATGTGGGCCACGGTCACAACATGAGTTGTGCCATGCCCTGAACCCCATCATGTTCTGGCCCCAGAAACATGCGAAAATGGATGGGACTGAGCTGCTGTTCTTTTTTGGCGGGAATATCAGCCAATCCCCAATTGTAGCGGGAAACTGTGGTCCAAGTTTCAAAACAGAACTTGTGTTTCATCCAATGAAAACTCAAGCTCCCTTCCCAAACCATCGACCGGGGCTAGTTGATGCCATCGACGGCTATACGACTGTCGAAGCTCCGATGTGTGGCTTGAGGTTTTTGCTCTAGCCTTTCAAAATGAGTTCGCCCTTCCTCCTCCCCACCAGACTGGCAGAGGGGAACTCAAGAACTGGCTATTCAAGATGACTGAGAGAATCTTTTCTTACCATCCTGAACCTGGGTATGGAAATCGGCCCGTGAAAAGGACCTGTTTTGGGGCCGAAGTGGGGTCAATAAACTCTACCGAATGGCTGGTGGTCAATCACCAAACTCTTCCAGCCCCATCTAAGATAGCTTCCACTGCCTCCAAACCACTCTCAGGGGGGCAAGGAAGTGGGATGTATATCCTTCATATCATGGCTATATAGCGGTTGTACACCCCACGAACCCTTGGGGGTGATTTCTTTGCAAAGGAAACCATCTTGGATACCCTCACCAGAAAGCCTCTGTTGGAACTGACCCTCCAGTCAGGTTGCATGTTCTTTTTGAAAACTAGTTTGTACTTATACGATTAGAACCAAACTGAAACCAGTCCCTTCCGATGCCAGGCAAAAGGACACCTACTGTAAATGGACAAACTCCAGCGCCAGTGAGTAGGTGATTTGTCCCAGTATTGGAAGGGCTTCGTCCATCCCAACTGGTTTGTTTTGGACTTTGTCTGTCCACAGCATGGCAGAAGTAATTTGAAACCGCTCCAACCGGTTCCATCGGTTGGCCCGGGTCATCATTGGGCCGGGGCTTCCATGGACACACCACAGAGCTTGCCCAAAGGCTGCCTGCGCGTTCGACTCGCCGGGGTTCTGCGGCTGCCGTGACTATGCGCCAAATTGGGTGGCTTGGATTGGTGGTGGTCAGAACAGAAACATCCGCTCAAGTCCCAAACCAACCAAACCAGCAAAGGATAGGTAAGGGTTAAAAACGAGGTGACCAACCAACGCTGTTGAGGGGTTCATACATGTTTCCAAGATGGCTTGTGTCAAAGGGTCAACCCAAACCAAGGCTCCAACATCGGGAGGTTCTCTTACGAGTCCAACGGTTGCTGTCTAGGAGCAAAGCGAGAACCGCCTGAGTGGTCATTGAAATTCTCAGATGGCGTCCACTACCCCAAATCACTACCCTCAGGGTCATTATTGGGGGGGGGGGCAAACCATCTTAGATAAAATTCACGTCCCTCGAGTGGGCTCTGTGGGCCGGACAAAGAAGTCGCTCATAACTCGTGGCCTTGAAAAAAAACACTTCCGCCCTGTCCACCCAAAGTGGACCTTTGCCCCCAAAGAGAATCACTACATGGGGTCTGTCATTTTCCCCCCCCCCGCCCCCAACAAAACATGGTCCGCGTCTCTGTGTTGAATTTTGGAGGGTGCATCCTCAAGTCATCCCAAAAGACCTACAAAATCACCCGGCCTCTGAACAACAGCATCAAAGCATGTCCACTCACTGTCGATGGACAAACGAGGCATGCGTGTGCCAGGGGTCTATTTGTTCATTGCCCCAAAATAGACTTAACCCCCCTCGAATAATCCGTCAAACTAACGCGGGGTGGGTCCTAGCAAGCTTCACATCCCTAGGCGCTCTACCGAAAAAGTTCCCAGCAAAAAAGTCACCTGCGTGAGGTTCGGTCCAGCATGGCTTTGTCTTTTGACAAACTCCCTTGCTTGAAATCAAGTTTCCAGCTGTACCCCCTTCACGAGTGTCGAACTCCCCCCTGAAAAAGGGGAGCGCACAGTGTTCCGATACCAAACAATTCAAAAGGCAAGACCGCCTCAACCCAACCATGTCCTGGATCAAAGCAATCGTTGCTACCCTCCCTCCAACAATCATGGAAGTGCACCCGAAAAGGGGGGGGGTGGAAGACTACCTAGTCTAATCAAAAGCCCTCCTGTCCCCTTCGATGATGTCTCAAACAGAGGGTAGCTCACCTTGAGTCATCGAAAGCCCCGCGAAGAAAGCCAATGCCATGATTGCCATGACCTCAAGGAGCTGCTTTGGCAATCTGGAAGTCAAATGATACGACCAAACCTGATCTTGGTTGCAACGACGCAGCTTGTCTGAATTCATCCACGCAGTCTTTTTGCGTGTTTCGCGATGTGTCCGGTCTTTGCACACGGCGTAAATTGCAAGGGCTCGCATTACTGGCCGCCATCGCAACCCTTCTTCCTTTCTCACCCAAATGGGACACTTAAAATCTTAGGCCCCGCCGCAGCTTCTGTGGCCTAGCGGTCGTGCGTCCGGTCCCGGGCTCGGTTCCTCCCTGGCGCGCGCTTTGCGGAGAGTCGTCGCGCGCCCTGAAAGCTTTCTTTTCAGTTCTCTGTGTTTCCCGCAAGTCTCTAAATCTGCTGCTCGAATTTAAGTTTGAGCAGAACACGCGCTTTCTACCTTCTCTGGGGCGCCAGCGCGGGACGTCGATTCGGGTGTCAAATCGAGAGACGAGTCGTGCGGACCCCCCTGCAAAAAGCGAACAACTTTTTTGGGGGGGTTAGTGGAAAACACCATTATTTCCCAAAAAGTTAAAGTCTAAAGAACCAACCCAATAGCAGTCAGTGAAATACATCATGGGTGACATCGGTCGCAAGCCAAGGCCCCTGGATTTTTTTGCAGATCTATATAGGTTTGTCTCAAAATTCGGGGGACCCCTCCCAGTGGTTCCCTTCTGGTTGTACGTTAAAGCTAACCCAGATGGATAGGAAGCCCACCCGCGCTACCTCAGCTTAGATTCTCGGGGAATAGTTTCGTGGTCTCACGGAAGTGGTACTCCAATCTCAACAGCTCATTGCGCCCTAAATGGCTGTGGGTCAAAGGCCTCGCCAGCCAGGCCCCCTCACCTAAGCGCAGGAAACTCTGGGCTGTGCATGTTCTGATCTGCTAAAAGTGACTCACTCATGGGTGATTTTTTGGAAACTACCAACCAGAAACAACCAAAAACAACCAAAAACAACCAAAAACAACCAAAAACAACCAAAAACAACCAAAAACAACCAAAAACAACCAAAAACAACCAAAAACCTAAGGATGGCTGGTTGAACCCCACCTGCCACCCCGAAGGACCTTCTTCGGCCTTATTTGGCCTCCCTTGCCCTTGGTTCAGCCCAAGCAGGCTGGCTGAAGGGGGGTGGGCAGGGTCAAAAAAAAAAACGACGGAAGGAGCCCACTCCAGAGGTGGGCAAAGAACCTGCTCAAAAGGGGGTACCCTGAAGACATGACCTGCTGGGGTGGGGAGAGGTGTCAGAACTATGACGCGTCTGCAAAGGCTGGCTTGGACACCAACAGAACAGTACCGTTTGAAAGGATGTATCATTTGTCACAATGCAAAGTATGATATTCGCCTCGGATCACTCCAAATGACTGCATACATCATCAGAGCTGGACTTCCCATTTTAGGGTTCATGACCCTATTAACGGAACACCGCCCATTCATCATGAGGGTGTCGTCCATCCCAAGCAGACACAGCCATTTGGCACAAATGACTACAACCTGCCGTGGCTGACAATCATGGCTGATTACAAGGGGGGTGGTCGCAATTTAGATTGAATCCTTCACTTTGGGGAGTGAAACACCCCTAACAATGTGGGGTCTAGGGGTCATTCACAGGTCATCCACCAGGATAGTTACGGTAATCTGCTATCCAAAGGTTGCGCAACCTTTTCTGCTCGAGCTTGTCTCTCGAAAGCGATTCAGTCTCCACACGAGGAGACCCGAGGGACCTGGAGATTTCTCAGACGATCTTTGGGGATCTTTGCACCAAAAAAAGGCTGCCAGCCAGCCAGCCAGCCAGCCAACCAACCAGCCAGCCAACCAACCAACCAACCAACCAACCAGCAACGTGGGTGTATCCGTCAAAACAGGTTGGTGCCACATGGTGTATTGTTTGGTTGCCAAAACAGGAGAGCCTGTTAGGTCCTGTTAGGTCGGCTTGCTTCGGACATTTTTGTTGCCCGGAGTTCTATGCTTCACGCCGCGAGCCCAGTCAAAGCTAGCAGCCCGTCACAGCTCGCTGTGGGCCTGAAACGCTGACTTAATCTTCCATCTGCTTTTTCACCCCCTGGAAAAAATGGAGAAAAAAAAAAGAAGCACAAAAATGGCACTGCCTCCAGTAGTGATAGATTCCCGTTTGAAACCAGCAACGAGGGCAAAAGATCTTAAGGAAATGGAAGTAGAGGGAGGGTGAGCGGGCCTTCGACAAATTTGGTTGCCAACCTCTGGGAGGCTCATGGACCTTCGAATGATTCGCTTGCTGGAGAGTTGGAACCAACTCACCTCACGTTCCACGTGAAAAGTTCTTTTTCCGGGGGGGGGGGGGTGGGGCAGTGGGTTGAGCAAGTGCAAACATGGGAGAGGGTTGGGTTGAAGGAACCCCCTTTTGGTGGGTGTTTTGAGGGCGATCGGAATGACACCAACCATTTCGGAGTGTCGTCTATTTGTGGACCGACCCTTCTCGTGGCAAAGCCCTTGGTTGATTAGGCTTCGTTGTGTGGAATCAAGATTGGTCGGTCGTACAGTGGTCGGCCCGTTTCTGTCCACACATCGTTGGGTCCTGATGCTTGTGGATGATGAAAGGGAGACCAACCCTCACCATCACACCCCGGTTTGGTCTGTTGCTTGCCAAGGTTTTAAAGGTTCATCTCTCATTGCCAAACGAGGTCTGGGCCTTGGTGAAAAACAAACGGAACCAACCACTGGACTGGAGGTGAGATCATTTCCGAGCCCCATGTGAACGCAAAAGATCGCATCGCCTGAGACCCTCCATCAGTTGAAACAGGTCAAAGGCCGCATTGCGGCTGCGTTTCTTCTCAACCCCGAGTTGGACAGTTCACGCCCAAAAGAGACCAGCACAAACAAACAGCCCACCAAAAACCCAGAAAACCTCAACCAACCAAATAGCATCTCAAACAATCAACCCAGAAAACCCAGAAAACCCCTAAACCTCAACAGCATCTCTTATACGGGTGTCCAAAAATAGTGGGTTTCCTGGTGGTTTCCTTAAAACCCCCCCAAAAATGGGGTTACCCTCAAAAACAGGCAGACCCATGTTGAACCAAACTAGCCAGCCCCTTCCCCCCGCCATAAACCCCTCACTGGTTCCCTGATTTTCCCGAGCCACCTTAGGAAGGTCCAACTGACCCCGTGCAAAAAGTGATCCAGTTGCCCAATGACCCCGGTAGAAACAGAATTGGAACGCTTCTTGGAGTTTACCATACATGTATTCTTTCATGGGCAACCCAGCAAGCAAAAAGGGAAAACGGTACCACCGAAGGGAAAGTGGGAAACGTTCATTGTCCAAAAGGTCCGAGGAGCAGCCAAGCTTTGGGAGTTCAAAGCCAACGTCCCAAAGCAATGAAATTTACTTCAAAAGTTCAGACTTTCTGGTTGCAACTAGTAGTCACTCAAGTCTAGAAACTAGGGCAGTGAAGGAACCATTCATGGAAATGTTACTTTTAGGCGCTTAAAACTGAATCTGGAAGTTCCTGTCATGTTCTGGTCCGAAATTCCGGCAAAAATCCAATCAAAACTCACTTACAGGTCACAGGTTGTTGAACAAAACAGTGTTTTGGCCTCCTGCTGGAAAACAAAAACGGCATGATGGGCTTCAGCCTTGTTCCCCTTGATCAACCGGGGGAGAACACCTCCCGCCCGCACCTCGCGCCGTCCGACGCCGACACCAAGCGCCTGGGTGGGCGCCGGCTCCTCCTCCGCGCGGGAGAGCTGCTTCAGGAGCCGCAGCTTCCGCTTGAGCCACTTCTTCTGCCTCGGCTTGCGGGCGCGGCAGGCGCGTCGCTTGACGCCGGTCGGGTTCGTTTCTTTGGCTCGCTCCCGGCTTTCAGTGGACGGGCGAACGAAAACAAGCAACCCGACTCTTGGCTTACGACACAAATTCGGTCCAAACCCAAAAAGTGACAGCCCAGGAACCCAGGGAGGGAAGTTTTGTGGCAAACCCCGAGCCGGGAACCCAAGGGCCGAAGGTCGGCTCTCGCATTTGGTTTGGATGCGAATCCCATTTGATGTGATCCTCCAGGAAACCGAACGCCCCGAATCCCCCACAGGGTTCAGATCGAAAAACCGGAGGTTCGATGGATCCCCTAGATGTCGCAAAGTGGACCAGCACTCCAACCCAACACAACGTGAGTAAACTGCATTGAATGAGAAGGTTCTCCTCGCTCCTCATATTTGCTGGAGCCCTAAAAACTGGAGTTTCGACTCCAAGCAACCCGTCTGGAGGCCCAATTGAGACCAGTGATGCGGGTACAGGAGTGCTAGGGCATCATCGTCGGCATCGCATGAGGGGCCATGCTGACCATGGATGTTGGTCAAAACATGCAAACCCGATTGGGGCATCACTCTCCCGACCCGAATTGGCAAACCCAAGTGAGCAAGGTGAAGCTGACTGCAGCGCAGACAGAACTCACCGCATTTTTGCGCAGCGTCGGTGGTGGGTGTTGCCTTGTGTTTCGTTGTTTGTTTTGCTTTACAAAGTTCTTGAAATAAGTCCTTTACATAAGTCGTCAGATTGTTCACACTCTGATCATGTTTTGCAATGTTTAGACTATATTTTTACAGCTGTAGACTGCGCCTTGAGCTTCTCTCAACACCCAACTTTGGCGCACCAAAAGGATGCCACCAAGCCCAAAAAGGAACCGGTGAGGTTCCTTCGTGGGAGATTTGAGTTCCAAAACATTGCCAGAGAATGGTGCCATCCCGCCCCCAAAGCGTTCCTCAGCTTTCTATCATCCCTGTTTGGGCCCATGTTTCCCAATAAGAATCCATTCGAAGGATTAAATCGGACTGGTGTATTAATAGAGTGCGCTTTCCTGAGTGAACTATCCCCTCTGAAATGGGCCCCAGAGTAGAAACCGAAGTGCTCATCCCCCTTTTGAATTCCAAAAAAAAGGGAAGACCTGCAAACACCAGGGGCCGTTCTCCGCAGGCATGTCACACCAGGGACTCACTGCCCTGTTTTCCTTGGCCGAAGCGGCGCCAGCTCGAAGCTCCCCTCCTTCAGCATCTTCTGCAGGCGCTGCACTTGGGCCTTGTGAGCCGCCGGGTCCTGCGGCTTTTCGAATTCGGTTTTTTCGGCGGTTGAAAACAATGGAGTACGAGCACTTGTGAAGCCGAGTACTTGGCCATTCATGTGGACAAGAGTCCAACTGATTTCTGTAAAAGGTGATCCCTTGTTTGCGTAAGCCCAGTTGCACAGTGACCATAGGTGTCCTTTTAGGGGAAATAGATGGATTTCCCTGCTAGATGATTAAGCCACCAGGCAAACCAGGCATCGCCATCTATTTTTCTAGCAAAACCACAAAAAAGGACACCTATGTTTTCGGCGGCTTGGTGGGGGGGGGGAGTGACCCTCAGGGAGCTTACCCCGAAACTGACTGAGAGTGGGATGGGCTTGGATGCAATTCGCGGTCGGATTCGTGGTTCGAGAGTTCAGGGCCCCTCCTTTGCAGACAGCTAAGTTGAAGATGTATGAAAATGGAAACCGACCAGCAAAAGAATAACTCTTTGCAAATCACTATAAATCACAAACCCGGAATAAAGGATCCCTATGAAAGAAACCTTTACTATGTGCATCGCACCCCCCCCCTCACCTCTCCCGGAACGTGACATCGTTATAATTCAGACAGGCATGACACCCAGGCTGGTCCCAAAGTTACAAAGGTCCTTTGATCAAGGCGTCCTTTTGAAAGAAAATCGCAACCAAAAAAATGGAAAATAGAAATCTCGCCATACTGAAACCACTGGAATCCCATCCTACAGTGGATGGACGAAACTCATTTCGCACCACCTAAGAAGCCCTGGAATGATGTTTCGCTTGAAAATACCAAC